ATACGTTAAACCGTGAGTGTGCATAAAAAGAACGCCCAAATCTGACTTCGTATGAGGAAGTTATGATTTTTCAAAGTTTCGACTTAGCGGTATGCAGCCTGGATACTCGATTTGAGACCGAGCGGTTTTTAGTCAAAACAATCTAAATGAGAATTGAAGATCTCATTAATTGTAGTAAAACAATAAAAAGATAGGCGAAAATGGACGTCGGATGAAGAAGTTATGATTTTATAACGGAATTTTCTTGTCCCGGCCTACTAAAAATAAATAATAAAAATAGAATCAAAATTAGCCGACGAAGTCTAAACGAAAGTTGTGGAGCATAGTCTCACCTACGCGGGGATATAAAGAACGTCGAAAACGGAGTTCATATGAGGAAGATATGAATTTTTGAAGTTTATTAAATATTTTCGATATTTAATTTAAATATAAATTTTCGATATTATCCAAGGGGGGAGTCAGCGAGCTGATCCACATTACGCCCAACGTAATGTGGGATTACGCCCAGCGTAAATAGCAAATCTAGACCCTATAAAGGGGAGTCGAGTGCAGCCGATTCATTTGCTCATTTCTCTTCTTTCTCTCGCGTTTTTGCATCGTTTTTCGTGCAAGAAATATCCCGAAGCCCCGGTATCATTCCCGAGCCCCAAAGCAAGTACTGAGGCCCCGAAGATCCCGAGAAGTGAAATTCCTGAGCCGAAGCTCTGTCCGCGAGAAGTCCGATTTTTGTGAAGATCTTCCAGATCTACCGAAGAATACTACTTCTACAAGCCGTAGTGTTGTCCGATCATCTTCTGATCAAGTGAGTGTGTAGTTACTTTCTTCTAACGCATAATTATGAAGTATTTTATGCGAAATACGTGTTATGTGTATAATATAAAGTTGTTTATATGTGTGAGTGTATAGTCACTTTCATCTTACACATAGATATGAAGTATTTGCTATGAAATACATGCTATGTGTTTATACATTGTTTGTTTACTTGAGATGGATGCTGAATGAATGTTTTATACGAGTTTTTTAAATAAGTTGTATATGTAATTTATATCTATAGATATGTTGTGTAGAACATGGTTAGATGAAATAGTTGATGTGTGTTGAAAGAATGTGATAAGAGAAAGGTGAGGATATAATGGTGATGATAATTAGGTGATGATAGATAGGTGATGAATTACGAGTCCGGGAAATGTTGTGGCTACGTATTCATGCGATGATAGTATATCCCTTATTATGAATTACGAGTCCAGGCGATGTTGTGGCTGCGTATTCATGCGATGATAGTCTAACCCTTATTATGATTTACGAGTCCAGGCGATGTTGTGGCTATGTAATCATGCGATGATACCCTAACCCTTATTAGACATATATTGAGGGAGTGATCCCTGAATTAGTATTGTCTATATGATACATGAGATGATCCTTAGGAAAAGTTCTTAGGAACAAGCATATAAGGATATAAGATATAAGGAGATGAGCGGTAAATATGATATAGGAGATGACCCTTAGGATAATATCTTTAGGGAAGATTAAAAGAAGATAATGGGGATGGGTATTTGGGTTGATCGTTTGATGATTGAATATAATAATTATATTATTGTGGGTTGAAAACCCTATATGCTCACCAGGCTCCTAAGCCTGACCCACTCAGTTTAATTGTATCACAGGTATCGATACGAAGCTGCTTTGCACTGAGAGATTAAAGGAGATGTAAATCATTAGTGTAATTGAATGTAAGTTCTGTTTATGCTTATGTGTCTGTATCGGAACATGACATCCCGAGGTTTTATTATTAAATGAAAATACATTCTCTTTGAGAAATGTTTTGATAAGTTATTATCATATCTTGTTTTGGGAACAAATTCCGCAACCGTTTTCTTTAAAAGATTACTTTGATTTTATAAAACAAAGCATAAACAAATCGGTCTTTTCTGTCCGTAAAAATGGGGATGTCACAGTTGGTATCAGAGCATTAGTTTAAGCGAACTAGGAATTTGTAGGAAATTTCTAGACTTAAACTTAGAATGCTAAATAATGATTGGGAGGAGTGTGTCTAAAATATGTTAGGTAGTACACCTAAATTGATACAAGTACTAGTTAATTTTAGGAGTGATGCCTAAAATGCTTTTATGTGCTAAATGTTATATGTTGCCATATATGATATTATTTGTTCGGAGATGGCAATGATTTAATACAATGTTGTTTTTTAGGGGGATGATGGAGATACTAGTAAATCGCTGTAGATGGTGATCATTGACAGATGTAGGGGGTGGCGGAAGGCGGAGGGAGGTGGGAGTTGGAGTTGTAAAGAGGAGGTTGATGGATTTAATTTGGGGAACTAAGAGGATTATGTTATCCTAAAAATATCCCTCGATTAATTTCACTACAGTACCCCGTGCTTTATTTTTTTTTTCAAGTATTTACAAAAATGCCATAAAGCATGTTAATCTTTTATTATTTTGATCTAACGACTATTATTTGGTTATTGGGATAATATAGGTTCTCAAATAATCCTCCATATATATATATATATATATATATATATATATATATATATATATATATATATTGTAACACCGTAAATTTCAAGACAAAATTTTCATTTAAAATAATCATTTTATTCTTAGAAACACTTGTTTAAAATCTCATTCATAGTCGATTTACAAAACATGATTCCATTTTCACTTGCATAGAAAACCAGGATCCTCCAAAATATGACTCTTTCTCTGGTGTGTACAATCAAGCCGGTGCCGTCCCGTGATACTGAAAGAGACCTGAAAAACATTACACAAAACACTGTAAGCACGAAGCTTAGTGAGTTCCCCAAAATACCACACATAACACATATTAGCCACTCGAGGCTATAATTCTATGGGTCCGTGCACCCAAACTCTGTGAACCCTCAGGTTCTAACTCTGGGAACCTTCCGGTTCCAACTCTATAAACATGCACAACATAAATCACATAGAAATAATGCAGTACAACACATCACATACAAATAGCATACAAATACTCTGATCACATAACTCTAGTTACCTACTCAAGGTAAAGTATAGTGAGAAGACTCACCTGGAAAGCAGAAAGCAGATATCCCCACACTTGAATCTCGAACTCGCCACCGCCTAACACGTAAGGCAAATACTCTCATGAATATAACTCTCGAGGCTAGAATAAATCCTCTCATAACACCCTCCTATGGGTAAAAGTCTATTTTATCTCTCTCTTGGCCCAAGGCCACATCGCTGTCCAAACCCTAAAAGTCAACGACCAACCCTTGGTCGAAATCGAAGTCCTCAGTCTAGGTCAACCCCTGACTGACTCTACTCGTCGAGTCAACCCTGTGACTCGTCGAGTTCCCATAATCAGAACTTCCCCAATCCGCGACTCAACTCGCCGAGTCACCCCGAGACTCGCCGAGTCCCACTACTCTAAGTCCACTCACACCCAACTCACCGAGTCATCCCTTGACTCACCGATTCTCGACTCAACCAGGAAATATTTGGGACTCTTCGACAAGACTCGTCGAGACCAAAAACAGACTCGCCGAGTCTACGGCTATCTTCAACTTACTCGCCGAGTTGTTCATACAACTTGCCGAGTTCCAGGCCATCTTCATCCAACTCGTCGAGTCCACCCATGTGACTCGCCGAGTACCACCGGTCTGAATACATTCCGAAGCATTCCAGGCCATGCAACTGCTCCAAGACATAGATCTAGCCTCCTACCACTCATCCATCAAGTAAAGTGGCAAACTTTACGTGAATCCAAAGAGATCTAAGCCGTTTGCACATTGGGGCTAGGGTTTGGGACAAGATGGCTCCATCAACCACTCACAAACAGGGACTTTCATGCACTCTAGACCTTCTCCCTTCCAGATCTGAGGTAGCAACCTCAGATCTAGCCTCTAAACTCCAATACATCCAAAGATATGATCTCCAACACCCCCAAAATGATGCATCTAAGAAATAGCAACTAAAAAAAACGAGATATTACCTCAAAGGAATGCCCCAACTGAAATGAGACTCGAATCCAAACAAAGCTCCTTGCTCCAAGCCTTCAATCTCCCAAAATTCCTTCAACCATTACTTCTCCAAGATCCAATCCACTCAACAATGGTGCTTCTTCGCGATTTAGGGTTTTCTGGGGCTCAAGGGGTGATAAAGAGGCTGGGAGGAAGACATAATGATCATTATATAAGGCTCAACCCCGGGAATTAGGGTTTTCTCCACTCAGCGCCTACTCGCCGAGTCCAATACACTGACTCGCCGAGTCAGCCACTTAACACGCGACCAAGTCGCGACTCTACTCGCTGAGTCCACACATGGACTCGCCGAGTCGCTCTTTCCCAATTTACTCTTTTATCCCTTCAGCTCTACTCTTGATATTTCGGGATGTTACATATATATATATATATATATATATATATATATATATATATATATATATATATATATATATATATATATATATATATATATATAGAGAGAGAGAGAGAGGAAAAGTGAATATATCCTTAAGGGTATATAAGCATAGGTACCCAAACTCACAATACTACATCGTTTTGTATCATATAATACATTATAATTATCCAATGTTCTTATAATTTAACTTTTAAATTGATTTACTTCCATGATTTTTATAAATTACACATTTATCTTCTTCTTATTAATTTTCATTTTCAACTAGAATAAATATAACATAATACGTGTTCGACAAAAATATGTGACATAAGAGAAATATAATAGTGAAATTTCGAAAATCTTGAAATTAAATCAAATTAGGGGTTGAAGTTTAAGAACATTATAATGAATATATCAAACAAAATGATGTATTATGGTGTGTTTGAGTACTTAAGATTATATGCACTTAGGGTATATTCATTTTTCCATATATATATATATATATATATATATATATATATATATATATATATATATATATATATATATATATATATATATATATATATATATATATATATATATATATATATATATTTCTGTCGTAACTGAAAAACGCCATAAAGAGAATGAAAATGAATGAGTTCTCTCTCTCCCATGTATAAATTTGTCGACAGATTCTCTTTTTTCTTGCATCTCATCGTTTCCAATTTCCAATTTCCAATTTCCATCCCTGTTGTGTTCCTCTCTTTGACTTCCCCAAAACACACGTATTACGTATATACATATACTATTCCCTGTTGTAGAACTTGCTAGAACGTTCATCGGAGATGGCCTCGCCGCTGGAAGAGCAGCGAAACCGAGAGGATTCGCCGGAGACCAAAGAAATGTTACATAAGACGAAACTAATTCAATTTTTGGGGAGGAATACTCCGATTATCCTTCAAAACGATAATGGACCTTGCCCTCTCCTCGCTATCTGTAATTATCTACCTCTCTTTTTCAACTCTTTCTAGGGTTTGTTGATTTACCCAAGAGTTTCCTTTAGAACAGTTTAAGTTGTTAATTAGGAAACGATCGGCAGTTTATTTAAATTGTAGAGGATTTTGACAGTGACGTGAAGAAATTAGGCCGGTGTTATGGAAAAGTTTGCAGGATTATATGAGACAATTATCTGCAGTGTTTTCTTGATGATATTTTAGTGGTTAATTAGGTAATAAACATCAGTTTTTCAGTTTGTAGGGACCTCAGTCATTATTTCTCAAATTTTTAGGTGTGAATCAAGATTGAAGCTCAGGCATTAACCTTACTGTTTATTATGAGTCGAGGTACTCTTATTAGCAAGCAAATACCGATTTCGATTGAACTCTGTTTGAGAAAAAAAATATTTTGTTTCCTATTGATCGTGACTGAAACATCTTCTCTTTTTCTTTTGTTTCCTATGAAGTATGAAGCTTAATAACTAATGCAAAATCAGTCATTAGGTTAATTCTTGATCTGGAAAAACAGATGTTTTCTTGGATTTATGTTTCCTTCAGTCGTCTTCTGGAACATAAGAGTTTCAAGTTTCATTTTGATGATCAATGTGTGCAATTTGTGTTAGGTAATGTTCTATTGTTGAGAAACAATATGAATCTGAGCTCAGATGTAGGTGAAGTGTCACAGGAGAAATTGCTTTCACTAGTGGCAGAGAGGTTAATTGATTCAAACAGCAATGTTAATGTAATCTTCTTCTTCTTCTTCTTTTCTTTTTGATCACATTGTTAGCCTTTAACAGCCCATCAACTGCATAATTGATTCTTTTTAATTGAGGTACAGAATAAAGATGCAGGGTATGTTGAAAATCAGCAACAAAACATAGCTGATGCCATTGATTTACTTCCCAGATTAACAACTGGCATTGATGTGAACTTAAAATTCACAAGGTATCTTCTTTTTAAATCATGCTGCATGATGCTCCCTTACCTCTTATAGCCTTAAACTTAATCCACACACTATCAAATTGGTGCAGAATTGATGATTTTGAGTTCACAAGAGAGTGTGCGATATTTGATTTATTAGACATCCCACTTTACCATGGTTGGATTGTTGATCCACAGGTATGTTCTCTTAGGGCCTGTTTCTTTTTTAGTCTGAATAAACTGTCTAAATGACCATTTTACCCTCTCTGTTATAAGCATGTTTGTTTTCCATACATCTGTTGCAGGATTTTGATACTGCTAGTGCGATTGGGTTAAAGTCCTACAATACAATAATGGGGGAACTCGTTGCCCTTGAAACTCAAAATGTGGCAAATGACATAAATAACCCTGAAGAAGATTGTGTTGATTTTGTAGCTGCAACAACAGCCAGTTTAGGTGTCCCTTCACCATCCCTTTCCAGAGTTAAATCTTTTGATGATTCTCCCCATTCTGTTTCTGATGAGAAAAAGGAAAGAAAAGGTGATCTTCAAGAGGAAGAAGAGCTATTAAAAGCTTTGCAGCTATCAGTGACCAACAGTCCAACTACGATTGAGAGTAAAACTGATTCCGATCTCAAAACTCCGGAATCAGTGATTCCAGAGAAAGTACATACTGGTGCTGAACATGAAAATGAAAAAGCCTTGAAGCTATCCGAGACTGAAAGTCTAACTACAGCTGTGAATGACATTGATTCCGATCCCAAAAAGCTGGAATCAGTGATTCCGGAGGAATTACATACCGGTGAAAACAATGAGCCTTGTATACAAAAACCTTCTACAGATAATGATAACAATGGAATGAACAAATCCAATGATGATTTAACTTTTGAAACAGTTCCATGTCAAGAAGCTTGTTCTTCTTCACAAGGGGATAATGATAAAATCCATAATACTGGAGATCAAAAAATACATGATGAATCAGTAAAGGGCAATGATGTAAATGTAGAAGGAAACGCTGAAAGTGTTGGTGGGACATTGGATGATATGTCATCATGCTTATCTGCACCTATTCCAGGTTTAGAATCATCAAAGGGCAATGATGGAATTTCCTCAATTGATGAGTCAAAGGTGTTGACTTTAAGTGTTGATGAAAGTGAACCGATTTATGAAGGTGAGGAACATATACAGGAGACGAGTACCACTGCAAATTATGAAAATGGAGAGCCAATGTATGAAGGTGAGGTGGTTTTAGCAGAACAAGTGGACAAGGGCAAAGATGGAATTACTCCAAAACAAGGCAAGACTTTATTACTTTATTTAGTTAAACATTTGCTTTAAAACAATCAATTAATGTTTCTTTTTTTATAATTAGGGGAACTGATCAGGAATTTTCTCAAGAATAGTGCTAGTCAGTTGACTATATATGGGTATGTTTTATCTTGTGTATTACTGGACACATATTTTATATATTTTTTTATATATCATATAATATAATTATTTTTTTATTTGTTTTTTTTTTTTTTTATGGTTGCAGGTTGTTTTCATTGCAAGAAGGTCTAAAAGAACGTGAACTTTGTGTGTTTTTCAGGAATAACCACTTCAACACAATGTTTAAGGTTGGTTTAACATAAAAATAAAATTATCATATACTTTTTGAATATATATATAAACTGATGAAGTTATTTGCAGTTTGAGGGTGAACTATATCTTTTAGCTACGGATCAAGGGTATATTAGTCAACCTGATTTGGTATGGGAAAAGCTTAATGAGGTATTATAATTTATAGTTTTCTTCTTCTTCTTCTTCAGAATGTAATAACTCATTCCATTCAATTGATGATTCCATTCCATGTATTTATATTTATAGGTGAATGGAGATTCGGTGTTTATGACTGGTAATTTTAAGGAATTCAATGCTGAAAGTCAGGAATCCCACTCGTGGGATGAACAGAATGCATTGGCTAATACAGCTGTATGTAGCCTTTTCAATTATTTATATATTTTCATTAATTTGTGTGGATATTAATTATTATCATGTTAATATGTTTTTTGTATTTCAGGACTATCTTGCAAGCATTGACAATTCACCACAAGAGAACACGGGCTTTAAGTAATTTCTCTACCTTTTATTAGTTCTGTTATTAGTTTCCATTTTAATATATAAAGAAAAATATATATATATATATATATTTTTTTGGTATCACAGCTCTGATCTGCAATTGGCTATAGCTCTTCAGCAACAAGAATTTGAGCAACAGCAACAACAACAACAGCCACCATCACCACAACCACCACGCAATGACACAGCTGGAGAGTCTGGGTTTATTACAGGTCCCCAGGTAAATGACCGTTTTACCCTTACATTCCAAAAAGAAAAAAAAAAAATTTACATTATCTATAATAACAATTACAATCTGATTTACATGTAGCATGTGCAGCCATCAAGGCCAAAGAGTTCATCTTCATCTTCATCATCGAAGCAGGAATCGAAGTCATCAAAGGAGAAGTGCACTGTGATGTGATGTGAAGAATTGTAATTTCAACGTGGTTTTAAGTTTTAACATTTCCAAACATTCAAAGTGTGATTTGTCATATATGAAGATTATTTACCTTTTTCATTTTGTTGTAAAGGAAGTTTTTGTAACATAGCTTCTTAGTTTTCTTTAGTGTAAATTACACGACGCGTACATGTGGTTTGGGGTAATTTCTGAATTTTATCCCTAAACTCTTTTTTATTTTTTTTTAACTCGGACAGTACCTATTGTATGTTTTTTTTGCGGATTTGATGATTTGATCCCTCGGAAATCTACTAGTTTATCAAGTTCTTCCTCTTTTATATTGTCGATAGTGGATAACTAGTCTTGGTGGTGCTAGTTTGGATACTGAGTGATCTGAACGAAGTTGGTGATGCCTGTTGATTTGTGAATGCTTGTGATACCTGTTGGTTTAATGGTAAATAGTTTTTTTTTTTTTAGAAAATGATTCCCAACCTCAATCAATGGTTCTGATTTTGATAACCTCGGATTTATGTGCTTTTTGGTTTTCTGTGATTTTTGTTTATGGGTAAGGAAGGAGGATGGAGAGTTTATGTTTATTGACACAGAAAAGACATTAAAAACAAGACATCGTATTTATAAATTTTGGCAAATAGGATGTCAAAGTAGCCAGAGAAGTCAGAGACAAGATAGTGGAGAGTTGGATCAAAGTTCCATGGAGTTGGATTTGGGTATCTGGGACACTATTATTTTACCAATTTGTAGATATTAATAATACAATAAGAAAACATTAATGATAATATACTAATTTTAAATCGGTCAGAGACGTAACAAAAACATAAACATATAATATGAATTGTTCGAATTAAAAAAGAAAAGAAAATCTCCATAAAATTCCCACATTTTTGGGAAAAAATTCATTTTAGTCCCTTTTTTTTTGAATAAAAAAACCCAGGTGACATGGAGTGCAAGGTGAAAAGTATAATGAACACATTGAAGGAAGAATAGGCATGTCGCAAGGGTTGAACTCAAAACCTCTAGTGACTCGCACATAGGTCCTTACCACTATGCCATATAGACTTTTGCGATATAATGATTGATTTCTTTTATATATATAGCTAATATAACTGAACAAAGAAAGAAGAGCTAAGGGCCAAATATGCATGTTACACTAAACCACCAGGACAATTTGTATAATTTACCTTTTTAGGCTGTGGGCAGTGGCTTGTCAAGGACCCTTGCTTAGCATAAGGAATACCGACCCTAGCTCTCGCTAGGGGCTCACTAAGATTGCTTGCTACGAGTATAGCGAGAGGAGAGAGAAAAGAGTATTTGCTTTCAATTTGACCGAATCCTGATTGGTTGTGGCTACTTTTTTCTTTTATTTTTTTAATTTTTTTTACAAAACAAAACCTATTAAACTCTTCACATTACCACTCCCTACCTTTTTCAATCTATGCATGCTAAGCTTATATGACAATAAAAAAAACCTATGTGGCAATAAAAAAAAATGATGTGTCAAAGTGATAAGAGTATTACCACTTCCTCTAGCTTTATAATCGCATGAATAACTCAACATAACTCATATCATATATTTGTGGGAATTTTTGTTTAAGCTTGTTATCAAATATTTTATATATATATATATATATATATATATATAGAGAGAGAGAGAGAGAGAGAGAGAGAGAGAGTATTAATGATATCTTTGCATTAATTTTAAGTATTTTCATTTTATAGCCAAAACGGAAAGTTCATCTCGAGGAGCTATGTGGATCAATTATCTATGTAAAAACAATATATACGAACAATATTGATCAACCATAAAGATGAATTAGTTAAGAATTAATTTTGTGGTTAAAAGAGATTAATTAAATAAAAGGGGACTGACACTGTCAATTATAAGATAATTGAGTTTGGCCTATGAATCCTTATGAATATAAAGGGGTCGATATTTAGAGTGAAAGCCCACTCTAATTTCGTGCAAGGGAGCCTTATTCCAGAAGGTTCTTAAACTGCTTAGGGCCTAAGTCATCCAATTAGGGTTTTGACTGAAACCCTAGCAACTCAGCTATTTAAGGGACCCAGGGCTTTAGTTTCGGTTACACCAAGAAACACTAGAGTTACTATAGTTTAAATTGTGCCTCTCTCCTTCTATCTTCTGGATCATCTTCTTGCTTGTGGTGTTTATAAGCAATTAGAGGTATTACACTTGTGATACTAAGCTCCTTGAAAATTGAAGATTCTTGCAACTATTGAAAGGTATCATCTAAACTTGCTTTTATCATAAATCTCGTTTTCATAGTTTGCTAGATTAGGGTTTATAAGCTTTGGATAAATTTGCATGTACAATAGAGAAACCTAGATCCAAAGCTTTACGGTTTTGCATGTGCACATAGGATGTTCTTTTGCTCAAAACCCATCATAAAGTTAGAAACTTTATCCTTCCTAATCACATTTTTGGCCTAGCTTTAAGCTTTGGAGCTCTTAGGGACGAAAAGGGAAGCTAAATGTATTAAGTTGTTAGAACTTTGGCAAACACGAAGTGTTTGCAAGTCAACACAGCGTGTTGGCTGAAGTTTTCCCGTATGTTCGTATGCTCGTGGAACACGACCTGTCCAGAGGGAAACACGGTGTGTTAGGTCAACATGGGTTGTTAACCTTAACCATTGACTTTGACCAGGTTTGACTTTGACAACATTTTGGGATTTTGATGGAATTGGTCACTTGGTGGATTTAGGTATTGTGTTGTGAGTTGAGATTTAGAGTTAGGCCTCATCAGTTCTGTTCAGTTTGTGAGGCGAGTTTTCCTCATTGTACTTATGGGTCGAAGGCACCAAGGCCAGCCCTTTGGATTTGATATCCTGCTATGTATGCTTTTGTGTTGTAGTGATCTGTTAGATTGGTATCTTGTTATATAGGACGACGATATGCTTAATGATCTGTAAGATCTGTCCGTTGTTACTAGCTGGATATTTGAATGCTTTTCTGTTAGGTGTGGATATGTATATATGTGTGTGTGTGTATATATATATATATATATATATATATATATATATCTGTGTGTGTGTGTGACGACACGGTTTATGTGTGGCCGGGTTGAGGCGGTCCTGCTTTATGGTAAAGGCTAACAGACCCAGGGTGTTCTGGATAGACTGAAGGCTAGTAGGGCGTACCAGTCAGGCCAAAGGCCCAGAGAACGTTCCAAATAGGGTGAAGGCCCGGTTTGATGTGCCAGTTATGCTGTACGTTCTGTGAGCGTATCAGGTAGACTGCAGACCGGTGGGGCGTTCTAGTCAGACTGAAGGCTCTATAAGCATGCTATTTAATGTTATTATTTTGGTTTTATGTTGGGTTGGTATTTTGGGGAAACACACTAAGCTTTGGGCTTATAGTTTTGGGTTATGTTTCAGGTACCTCAGATGATATTGGGAAGACAAAGGCAAGATCGTGCACCTCTTCACGTTTTGTTTTATGATTTTAGGAAACCTCTGATAATAAATATGTTTTGAAAACATTAGTGGTTTGTTGAATTGTTTGAAAAGTTCAAAAGCTCTCATGAACTTTACGGATGTTACATACAGTAAGCACAAGACTTATACCAGAGACCAGGAAGACCATGATGAATCTAGGAAGCTCGAGAGTGTGAACCTCTTCATGTGTTTATTGATTGTTTATGTGAAACATCACAAAAGTACTGACAAAATTTTATTTTAAAATCATTAATAAAACCATAAGTCATCCATAGTCATAAAGAAAATCAAGTATCATATATATCTCAAAATGTCGTGACAAGTACTGTATCAAAATCATATGAGAAAAATATCAGAGTCTTAACATCCCAGGCTGGAATTGTAGTGTATGCCATGCGATCACCCCGAGCCCTTCCCCTTGATACCGGAAGTACTTGAAACGAAAACTAAAAACTGTAAGCATGAAGCTTAGTGAGTCTCCCCAAACTACCACATACCATACAAATATCATACAACTAGGAGATACAGGCCCCGCCCAGTCTCATGGAGATTCGGGCCACGCTCACACTGTGCTGTCTAGGAGATTCGGGCCCCGCCCATACTCCACTATTTTGGAGATTTGGGCCCCGCCCACACTCTGCTGTCTAGGAGATCCGGGCCTCGACCACACTCTGCTATCTAGGAGATTCTGAGCCCGCCCACACTCCGCTACTAACATGCATACAAGTATCACACAAACAATAATTATATCTACCAAATAATCACATATCTACACTCAAATAATACTATGAGCATCAGGCCCCACCCACTCTAGACAACTATGAAATTCGGGCCTCACCCACTCTCACCTACTAACATATCACATATCCAGGCCGACCTTGGTGCCTTATATCCATTCTTACTGAAAGGGAACTCACCTCGTATGACTGACTGCTGAAAAACTCGATTGAGGAATCCCTATCTGCTGCTCTGGCGACTCTCCGGCTATCAATTCCATAACAACACTTAATCAAAATTTGATAATCCTTCTCAGGGTAAAATGACCATATTACCCCTGGTCAAAGTCAACATCCTTGTCAAAATCAACTTTCCAGGTTTACCTAACTCGTCGAGTCAGCCTCGTGACTCGTCGAGTTTTAGAACTGATAACCCTAGAATCGCGACTCGGCTCACCAAGTCACCCTATGCCTCGTCAAGTTCCCAGGCTACTCATCATTGAGACTGGACGAACTAACTCGTCGAGTCATCCTCAGACTCTCCGAGGACTAGCATAATCAGAAAAGGGACAAGATCATCTAACTCATCAAGTTCCTTAACAACTCGTCGTGTTTCATGAACATCATCGAGGATCCTTGATCGGACTCACCGAGTTCCTATATGGACTCGTCGAGTCCCTTGTAGATCTAACCTAAACAACTAATTTCACACTTCTAAGGCTCTAAAATATAGATCCAGATCATTTCCATGGTCTATTTCTATAAAGTTGGAGACTTGATGGCTTTGCACACCTCAAATGGACCCAAACTCTAGTTATAACAACCTACTCCCATGAACATGACCATGGCTTCAACAAAAACGGGTTCAATACCTCCTTTTTGGCTCTAGAGACTAAATAT